ATTCAGAAGCATTGGTACCTCCAGCTGTGGAAGCAGATCAGAGCCATTGTGGCTGGTAACCATTGAGAGCCCTCTCCACTATGGTGGGCATCAATGCCTTCTGTGGGAATTTCTTTCATCTTTCGCAAATCTTCCCACATTGGGTGCTGATGAGTTTTAATGATGAGCGAGAGAGGAGAGCTTTTTTCAATCCACTTTCTCCATGCCATGCATCATTTTATAAATTTCCATCATGTCATATCGTCCTCACCTTTTCTCCAAATTGTCCCAAATTGCTGCAACCTTTTCTCCTTGGGGAAGCCGCTCCAATTGCCTTGACTGCTTTGCTTGCCCTTTTCTGAACCTATCCCTACTCCACAATATCCTTCCTGAGGTGAGGCGGCCAGAACTCCACACAAATGCACTGTAGATTTGCATAATGGGGGATTATGATACCTGCAGTTTTCAATTTTCAGTTCCTTTCCTTATGACCCTTAGCACTGAGCTTGCCTTTTTCACAGCCACCTCATTTGGATGAAGAATTTGCAAGAACTCGTCCCACAAAGATCTTTCAGATACCACCACAAAAATGGGCTACCTAGTCCTTGGTACTTCAAAGTTAATTCAAAGGTTTTGACCTAAAAAGCCTTATGTGCCTTAGGATCCCAATACATCCCAATTGGAACCACCCCAGTCCCTACGACCATCATTTGAAGCCCTTTTCTGTGCTCCCCTTTCATGGGAAGTCTGCAGGTTGGCCATGCGTGAATAGGGCCTTTTCAGTAGTGGCTGCCACCTTGTGGAATGCTCTCCCCAATGAGAGCTCTCCTGGCACCATCATTACATAACTTTAAGTGCTAGGCAAAAACATTTCTTTTCTGCCAGGCCTTTTTGGCTTTTAATTAATAATAGAATTGTAGGGTTTGAAGCGTTCCAGGGCTCATCTAATCCAACCCTTGCAATGCAGGAATCTCAGCTAAAACACCCCTAACAAGTGGCCATCCAACCTCTGTTTGGAAACCTGCAATTTAGCCACCTTAGCTAACATCAATGATAATTCTATGGTACTATATCTTTAACTCCCAGGCAAATATAAATAAATAAAATCCTCTTTTGCCAGGTCTTTAGCTTTTAACTATGACCTTTTTTTTGCACACATGATAAGTTTTAATCTAGTTTGTGTGTATATATATACAGTGGGGGGGGGGAGAGAAAGTATTTGATTCCCTGCTAAATTTGCCCGTTTGCCCTCTGATGAAGAAATGACCAGTCCATAATTTTAATGGTAGGTTTATTGTAGCTGTGAGAGACAGAATAACAACAGGAAAACCCCCAGAAACCCAGAAGACAAAAGTCACAGATTGATGTGCATTATAATGAGTGAAATAAGTATTTGATCCCCTATCAACCAGCCAGATGTCAGGCTACCTGGTATCTTCACTGTATGTAATGAGCTGAGATTAGAAGTGCAAGCTGTAGAGGTCTCGTTTCAGTACAGTGGTACCTCTGGTTACGTACTTAATTTGTTCCGGAGGTCCGTTCTTAACCTGAAACTGTTCTTAACCTGAAGCACCACTTTAGCTAATGGGGCCTCCTGCTGCCGCCGGAGCACGATTTCTGTTCTCATCCTGAAGGAAAGTTCTTAACCTGAAGCACTATTTCTGGGTTAGCGGAGTCTGTAACCTGAAGTGTATGTAACCTGAAATGTATGTAACCCGAGGTACCACTGTACAGCAGTATACAAATATTTCTACAAATAAAATAAACTACCCTCTAAGAGACCAAAGGAGCAAGCATACCAGCCATGTTCTTCTCTAGATTAGTTAATTATACTGGAATTGGAAACCTGTTCATAGAATTATTGGATTGCAGAGTTGGAAGGAAGTCAAAGGGTTATCTAGTCCAACCCCGTGCAATGCAGCAACTTTTCCATCCAAGCTACTATGTGTTTCCTACAATAAATAACTTTATCATTTGCTTACAAACAGGCGTGTATTTGCAGCAAGCCAAGCCGACTTTCTAACAAAGATTCACTAGTTCACAAGCTGCTCACTCTGCATACCAAAAAAGGCTTCCAATAGGTAATCAACCCTGTAATCCCATTGCAATGTATTTATGAATTGCATTTCTATCCCATCTTTTTCTTGTAAGAGCTCAAGGTGGCATACATGGCTTTTCTGCTCATTTAACCTCCACAATAACCCTGCAAGGGAGGTTAGGCTGAGAGGCAGTGACCAGCCCACTAAGTCATGCCCAGAGGCACTCTTGCCTGGGCAGAGGTCCCCAGAAAAACACCAAGCAGGGGGAGTAGTAGTAGTAATAATTTATTATTATGGTCAAAGACCAGTTCAAGACCAAGCAGGGGGAGATTTATCTGGGCTCTGAGGCCCCCTCCTATGTCTCACCTGCTGCTCCCCACCTTGAATGGCCTTCTGCAGGATGAAGCTGTTTTAATGCTGTGCTGCAATTGCTGTTGATGGGAACTTAGGTTAAGAAAAAAATCATGCCATTTTGGTGTTTTAGAACTGCTTAATGTATTTTAAAAATGTCAAAGTGATTATTTTGAGTTTGTTGCGCATTTTGAAGAAAGTATTGGTATGAAAAATGCCAAAGCTTTGGGGGAACTGATCATTATTGGGGAGGTTTTTTTAAGGAAAAGAGGTTTTGAATAGTGCTGTTATGACTATCTGTATTTCAACCACACTGTTTTAATCATAAACAACCTTGAGTCCCAGTCTGGGGAAAAAGTGGACTAGGAGAAGGAGAAGGAGGAGAAGGAGAAGGAGAAGTCTAGACAAACCAAAAAGCCAGTGGTGACATAGTGGTTAGCTAGAACCTGAGAAAGCCCAGGATTTGAATCTGCACTCAACCATGAAGGTCACTTGGTGTGACCTTGGGCCAGTCACTCACTCTGACCCACCTCACAGGGTTATGGAATCATTGAATCTTCTCCGGGTTAAACATCCCCAACTCCCTTAACCATTCCTCATCTGGCTTGGTTTCCACACAAACAGCTTTATTGTGGTCCATAGACCCAAAAACAAATGGCATATATCAACAGTTATTAAGGCGTAAGAGTGGCTTTGCTATCCAACAGAGGAGCTTTAGCCCATAGATAATGATTTCTGATTCTTCCTGCCTCTGAGAGAAATTGTGCTACAGCCAGTGTAATATAATCAGTCTTATCCTCAAAGAGAACTTTAACATAAAAGGAGTCAGCAAATCCAGGTTGTTCTGTTAATATTGGTTTGATTAGAAGCTGTCTAACATGGTTATACAGACTACAGTATAATAAAATGTGTTTCATACATTCAACATCCTGGGAACATGGGCACAATCAGCCACCACGTCTTAGCCTGTCCTACCTTACATAATTGATGTGAGGTTTAAAAGAAGGGAAGAACCATTATGCCAGCTTGAGATCCTTGGGGGGGGGGGAATGTGGGGTATGTCATTATTATTACATTTAAATTCTCTTTACTATTAATTATAATACAAATTATTATTATTAAATAATTGTTACAAAAGGAGCATGTGCATTGATTAAAATCTACATTAAAAATAAAAAATGAAAACTTTTAAAAATCTTTCTTTTCTTTTTTAAAAACTGCATTAAAACATCTCACACATGAGCAAAAGGCCACAGAAAGCTAAGAATCAATGGCATGGAGAAAAAGGAACAGTTTTTGTTTTGCTTGGCACTTAAAGATATGTAATGATGGTGCCAGGTGAGCCTCCCAGGGAAGAACCTTCCACAGATGGGGAGCCACTACTGAAAAGGCGTTGTTCTACTGTCATAAATGAAAAATAATAACTACTATTATCCCCCATCAGAGTGCAAAGTTCAAACAAGCAGGAGTGACTGTCTCAGCTACTTCAGACTCTCAGATGGGGGAGGCACAGGATGTGATAGAGACCAAACACAGGGGGACCCACAATTGTCATGATTCCCCCCCCCTCAACCAGCTGGCAGGGGAAATGGGCCTCTACAGGTTCTGGGAGGCAGACGAACTGGAAGCCCCCTCCTTTGTAAGGAGGATGCCTTTGAGGGGTGTGGAGGTGCTTCATAGAATACTAGAATTGGAAGGCACCCCAAGGTTCATCTCATCCAACTCCATGCCATGCAGGAATCACAGTTAAGGAATCCCTGGAGGGTAACCGTCCAAACTCTGCTTTAAAACCTCCAACAAAGGAGAGCTCGCCACCTTCCCAGGGAGTCCCTTCCACAGTCGAGAGAGTGGGCGTCCAGGCAATGTAAGAGCGGCGGCGGCGGCGCGTGCTTCTTGGCCGAAGGCTGGCCGGAGCTGTCCTTTCAGAACCACAGCGCCAGCGGAGAGAGGCTGTCGCGACAATGGAGATGCTCGGGAACCGTCGACAGAAGCCCGAGGCCCTTTCTCCGTCCCTCCCGGGGAAAAGTTGCCCGGAGAGGGTGCCTGGAAGGGGTAACGGAGGGGGTTTTCTTGAGGGGAGCCAGATTGGAGGGGGACCCCAGAAGGAGTCTCAGCCCGCTGCCCCACTAGCTGTCCGGCCAAGGGAAGGAGGAAGCGCGCCGCCGGCTCGAGGGGTGTTGGGGCCGGTAGCAAGCAGCGCGCACGCGCCCTCGCGCAGCAGCAGCAGCAGCAGCCCACTCCCCACCCCATTCCTCAAGGTGTTCACGGAAGATGGCGACGGCTTGAAGGCGAGCGATGGGCAGGCGGAGTTCCCCCCGGCGCCAGGCTCCTGCTCCGCGACGCGGCTGTCCGGAGGAGAAGCGGGCGAAGGCGGAGCGGGCGCGCGTCGAGCGATCGGGAGCGAGCCGGCCGGCCAGGCCCCGTCGGAGCTGAGCGGGGATGGGGGGGAGGGGGAGAAGGAGGAGGGCCGAGCGGTGACGGACGGACGGAGCCGGAGCCGGGGGATGCCGACGCGCCGGGGCCGGCCATGGTGAGGGGCCTCCCGTCGGCGGCGACGCAGCACCATGCCCTGCCCGGCGGGAGCCCTTAGCAGCAGCAGCAGCCCCGCGGCGGCAGCGGCAGGAAGAGGCTGGGGGCGCCCTCGGGGCGGGGATCGGCGGCGGAGGGCGCGGCGGCGGACGGGGGGCGCCGCTGCCGCGCGTCGCCTCGTGGCCGGGGATGCTTCTGCCGCCGCCGCCCGTCGTCGCCGAGCCACCATGCCGCGGAGGAGGAGGAGGAGGAGGCCGGTGACATTACCGGGGAGGGGGTGCGGAGAGGAGCCCCGAGAAGGAAGAGGAGCCGGAGCCCCCCCGCCGCCGCCCCCTCCAAAAATATGACCGGCGGCGCCGCCTCCCAGAACCGCCGCCGTTGCATCCGAACCCCGCCGAACCCCCCCGAGAAACCGTGCGCCGACTCGGAGCGGGCCCAGAAATGGCGCCTGTCCCTGGCCTCTCTCCTCTTCTTCACCGTCCTTCTCTCCGACCGCCTCTGGCTTTGCGCCGCCGCCGGGGCCCAGCTCAGAGCCCAGGATAGGAGCGTCGCCCAACCGGAGGCCGCGGTGAGGAGCGGTGGAGGCGCAGCCCCGACAGCGGAGGCGCGGCTCTGCCCCAACCAGGACTTGAGCTCAGCTTGTGGCCAACCGGCCGCGCCTCCCAGACCAGAAGCCGCGGCGGCGAGCAGCCCCGACGGCGCGGCCCCGACGGCGCAGCCCTGCCTGGACTTAAGCTCTGCCTGCAGCCACCGCCGCCTCTTGCAAGGGCCTCCCGGGTCCGCCTTCTCGGCCGCCGCGCCTGCTGAGGCGTCCCCGCCGCAGCTAGCCTTCCTGGAGCGGCACTTCCGCGGCTTGCGGCTCCCTTTCTGCCAAGCCTACACCGTCTGGGACCTGCTGCTGGGCATGGCCGCCGCGGAGAGCCTGGACTGCAGCCTCCGGAGCCTGTTGGCCGACGTGGCAGCGGCGGCAGGCGGGGCGCAGCGCGGGGAGGCCTGCAGCAGCTGTCTCGAGGCCTACCAGAGGCTGGACCAACACGCTCAGGAAAAGTACGAGGAGTTCGAGGAGCTGCTGGAGAAGTACCTGCAGGCCGAGGACTATTCCGTGCGCTCCTGCCTGAGAGACTGCAAGGTAGGGTTGTCGTCGTCATCGTTGCTTCTGTTGTTGTTGTTAATTACATTTATAGACTGCCCTGTTTTCTCTAAGGAGCTCAGTGTGGCGCACATACCATATTTCTCCCTGTTTTATCCTCACAAGAACCCTGCCAGGTAGGCTGAGAGGCAAAGACTGGCTCCCAAGGTCACACCCAATGAGATTCATGGCCAAGTGGGGATTTGAACCCTGGTATCACCCAGCTCATAATTCAGCCCTTTAACCTCTACACCATTATGCAACCCCCAGCAGAAGCTTTTAATGTTTAACAGACTATTGTATTTTAATATTTTGTTGGAAGTCGCCCAGAGTGGCTGGGAAAACCCAGCCAGATGGGCGGGGTATAAATAAATTATTATTATTATTATACACCACACTTGCTCTCAGTTGTGAGAATTTGTAGAATGGGGGGTCACACCAGGAGCTCCTTCCTCTCCCATGGAAGGAATCTGGGCTTTCTCTTATTTCATTACATTTATTCATTGCACTTATTTCCACTTTAGGGGCCAGCCCCTCCTCATGTAATCCCTACAACAACCCTGCAAGGTAGGTTAGCTTCAGAGAAGACAGTGTCTGGACCCCAAGGTTGCACCCAGTGAGCTATAGGATTGAGCAGCGATTTGAACCCTGGTCCCTCAGGTCCTCATCCTCATTGATCCCCACAACAACTCTGAGAGGTAGGTTAGGCTGACAGGCAGATACTGTGTTCCCCACCCCCTGTGAGTTTCCTGGAGTCTGAGAGGGGGTTTGAACCCTGAGCTCTCACAGGTCCGTAGTCCAACCTTCTACCCATTATACCACACTGGCTCTCTGGGAGTAAGTTTTGCTTCAGGGATGGCTAGCAGACCCTGTTTTGAGCTCAAGGGTGACTAATATAACCCCATTTGCTTGCCCACACCTGCCTACCTTACTCATTTGAAGTACCATGTGAGGCCCCTGGTCCTGTATCCCTGCTTAAGGGATGAGTCCAGGTTGTGGGGGAGGTAGCATGGCTCGGATCTAGGTGCAGAATCATGGAATTGTAGTAAAAGCACAGCAGGAAAATGTGGTGTTATAAAGCAGGGAAAACAGAGGGTCAGTGAATTGGGGGAGGTTTGCCATCAGTGGCTGCTAGCCATGATGGCGATGCTCTGCCTCCACCGTGAGAGACAGGAATGCTTCTGAATACCAGTTGCTGGAAACCAACTCTCAGAAGTTCATGTGTCTTCCATAGCACCCAGTTACATTATGGGACTCAGGCAGGAGGCAGTGGTGAGGGGCTGTAAAAGAGGACTGAACAAATTTTTGAAAAGGAGAAAGCTATTGATGGCTGCGGGTTAAAGCCTCAGCATCTAGGACTTGCCGATCGAAAGGTCGGCGGTTCGAATCCCCGCGGCGGGGTGCGCTCCCGTCGTTCGGTCCCAGCACCTGCCAACCTAGCAGTTCGAAAGCACCTTCAGGTGCAAGTAGATAAATAGGGACCGCTTTATAGTGGGAAGGTAAACGGCATTCCGTGTGCTGCGCTGGCTCGCCAGATGCAGCTTGTCACGCTGGCCATGTGAGGCGGAAGTGTCTGCGGACAGCGCTGGCCCCCGGCCTCTTGAGTGAGATGAGCGCACAACCCTAGAGTCTGTCAAGACTGGCCCGTACGGGCAGGGGTACCTTTACCTTTACCTTTATTGATGGCTGCTGGCCAGAATGGCTGTGCTCTGCCTCTCGTATCTGAGGCATCAATACTTCTGAGTAACAGTTGCTGGAAGCCACTGGAGGGGAGAGTTGCTCTTGTGCTTAGGTCCTCCTTGCAGATCTCCCTTTGGGGTATCCAGTTGGTCACTATGAGAATTCTGGACTAGATGGGCCTTTGACCTGACCTAGCAGGCTTTTCTTATGTTCTTGTGCTCATGTTCCGCATGCTGGTTTCCCACAGGCATATGTGCCCCTGTCACAAGATGCTGCTGGACTCCAACTCCCATCAGCCCCAGTTGTCAGCATGTTTAGAGGTCAGGGAGGAGCATGGGAGTTGTAATCCAGCAGCAAGTGAACAGCTCTGTCCTGTGGCAACTTTATTAATGCTATCATTATTAATTAAATATACTAGTCTCAAAGTGACATATAACATTTTAAAGGAATGAACAAACATAAATACATTGAAACATTTTTTTTATTAAAAAAATCAGCTGTCTATGAATCTCGGCTTATTGCTGATATATACAGTGGTACCTCGGGTTACATACGCTTCAGGTTACATACGCTTCAGGTTACAGACTCTGCTAACCCAGAAAGAGTACCTCGGGTTAAGAACTTTGCTTCAGGATGAGAACAGAAATCGTGTTCCGGCGGCTCGGCAGCAGCAGGAGGCCCCATTAGCTAAAGTGGTGCTTCAGGTTAAGAACGGACCTCCGGAACGAATTAAGTACTTAACCCAAGGTACCACTGTACTGCAAATAAAAGCAATCATATACAGTGAGGGGGGAAAGTATTTGATCCCCTGCTAAATTTGCCCATTTGGCCTCTGACGAAGAAATGACCAGTCCATAATTTTAATGGTAGGTTTATTGGAGCTGTGAGAGACAGAATAACAACAGGAAAACACCCAGAAACCCAGAAAAACAAAAGTCAGAGGCTGATGTGCATTATAATGAGTGAAATAAGTATTTGATCCCTTTGCAAAAGATGGCTTAGTACTTGGTGGCAAAACCCTTGTTGGCAATTACAGAGGTAAGACGTTTCTTGTAGGTGGCCACCAGGTTTGCACACATCCCAGGAGGTACTTTGTCCCACTACTCTTTGTAGAGCCTCTCCAAGTCAGTAAGATTTCGAGGCTGATGTGTAGCTACTCGAACCTTCAGCTCCCTCCACAGATTTTCAATGAGATTAAGGTCTGGAGACTGGCTAGGCCACTACAGGACCTTAATGTGCTTCTTTTTGAGCCACTCCTTTGTTGCCTTGGCCTTGTGTTTTGGGTCATTGTCATGCTGGAATACCCATCCTCGACCCATTTTCAATGCCCTGGCTGAGGGAAGGAGGTTCTCCCCCAAGATTTGACAATACATGGTCCTGTCCATCGTCCCTTCGATGCAGTGAAGGTGCCCTGTCCCCCTAGCAGAAAAACACCCCCAAAGCATAATATGTCCCCCTCCATGTTTGACAGTGGGGATGGTGTTCTTGGGGTCGTAGGCAGCATTCCTTCCATTACAAACACGGTGAGTTGCATTGATGCCAAAGAGCTCAATTTTGGTCTAATCTGACGACAACACTTTTACCCAGTTCTTCTCTTGGTCATTCAGATGTGCATTGACAAACTACAGACAGGCCTGTACATGTGTTGTCTTGACCAAGGGGACCTTGCGGGCTCTGCAAGATCTCAGTCCTTCACGGCTTAGTGTGTTACCAACTGTTTTCATGGTGACTATGGTCCCAGCTGCCCTGAGATCAATGACAAGTTCCCCCCGTGTAGTTCGGGCCTGCTTCATCACTGTTCTCATGATCATTGCAACTCCACGAGATGAGATATTGCATGGAGCCCCAGACCGAGGGAGCTTGACAGTTATTTTGTGTTTCTTCCATTTGCGAATTATTGCACCAACTGTTGTCACCTTCTCACCAAGCTGCTTGGCAGTAGTCTTGTAGCCCAGTCCAGCCCTGTGCAGGTCTACAATCTTGTCCCTTACATCCTTGGGCAGCTCTTTGGTCTTGGTCATGGTGGCTACTTTGGAATCTGCTGGGTTGATTGCTTCTGTCGATAGGTGTCTTTTGTACAGGTACAGTGGCACCTCGGGTTACATACGCTTCAGGTTACATACCCTTCAGGTTACAGACTCCGCTAACCTAGAAATAGTGCCCCGGGTTAAGAACTTTGCTTCCGGATGAGAACAGAAATCGTGTGGCAGCGGCGCAGCAGCAGTGGGAGGCCCCATTAGCTAAAGTGGTGCTTCAGGTTAAGAACAGTTTCAGGTTAAGAACGGACCTCAGGAACAAATTAAGTACGTAACCAGAGGTACCACTGTACTATAACTAGCTGGGATTATAGGTAAGACCTCCACAGCAGGCACTTCTAATCTCAGCTCATTACATACAGTGAAGATACCAGGTAGCCTGGCATCTGGCTGGTTGATAGGGGATCAAATACTTATTTCACTCATTATAATGCACATCAATCTGTGACTTTTGTCTTCTGGGTTTCTGGGGGTTTTCCTGTTGTTATTCTGTCTCTCACAGCTACAAAAAAAACCTACCATTAAAATTATGGACTGGTCATGTCTTCATCAGAGGGCAAATGGGCAAATTTAGCAGGGGATCAAATACTTATTTCACTCATTATAATGCACATCAATCTGTGACTTTTGTCTTCTGGGTTTCTGGGGGTTTTCCTGTTGTTATTCTGTCTCTCACAGCTACAAAAAAAACCTACCATTAAAATTATGGACTGGTCATGTCTTCATCAGAGGGCAAATGGGCAAATTTAGCAGGGGATCAAATACTCCCCCCCACTGTATATATATATATATATTATATATACACACACAAACTAGATTAAAACTTATCATGTGTGCAAAAAAAGGTCATAGTTAAAAGCCAAAGACCTGGCAAAAGAGGATTTTATTTATTTATATTTGCCTGGGAGTTAAAGATATAGTATCTTAGAATTATTATTGATGTTAACTAGGGTGGCTCAATTGCAGGTTTCCAAACAGAGGTTGGATGGCCACTTGTTAGGGGTGTTTTAGCTGAGATTCCTGCATTGCAAGGGTTGGATTAGATGAGCCCTGGAACGCTTCAGACCCTACAATTCTAGTATTAATTAAAAGCCAAAAAGGCCTGGCAGAAAAGAAATGTTTTTGCCTAGCACTTAAAGTTATGTAATGATGGTGCCAGGAGAGCTCTCATTGGGGAGAGCATTCCACAAGGTGGGAGCCACTACTGAAAAGGCCCTATTTACGTATGGCCAGCCTGCAGACCTCCCATGGAAGGGGAGCAAAGAAAAGGGCTTCAAATGATGGTCGTAGGGACTGGGGTGGTTCCAGTTGGGATGTATTGGGATCCTAAGGCACATAAGGCTTTATAGGTCAAAACCTTTGAATTAACTTTGAAGTACCAACGGACTAGGTAGCCCATTTTTGTGGTGGTATCTGAAAGATCTTTGTGGGACGAGTTCTTGCAAATTCTTCATCCAAATGAGGTGGCCTAGTATTTGGTGGCTGTGAAAAAGGCAAGCTCAGTGCTAAGGGTCATAAGGAAAGGAACTGAAAATTGAAAACTGCAGGTATCATAATGCTCCATTATGCAAATCTACAGTGCATTTGTGTAGAGTTCTGGCCGCCTCACCTCAGGAAGGATATTGTGGAGTTGGGATAGGTTCAGAAAAGGGCAAGCAAAGCAGTCAAGGCAATTGGAGCGGCTTCCCAAGGAGAAAAGGTTGCAGCAATTTGGGACAATTTGGAGAAAAGGTGAGGACGATATGACATGATGGAAATTTATAAAATGATGTATGGCATGGAGAAAGTGGATTGAAAAAAGCTCTCCTCTCTCGCTCGTCATTAAAACTCATCAACACCCAATGTGGGAAGATTTGCGAAAGATGAAAGAAATTCCCACAGAAGGCATTGATGCCCACCATAGTGGAGAGGGCTCTCAATGGTTACTAGCCACAATGGCTCTGATCTGCTTCCACAGCTGGAGGTAGCATTGCTTCTGAATACCAGCTGCTGGGAACCACAAGTAGAAAGAATCGCTCTTGTGCTGGGATCCTACTTGTGGGTTTTCCATCTGGTTGGCTCCTGTGTAATCCTTAACAACACCACTGTGAGGTGAGTGAGGTGAGTTAGGGCTGAGAGAAAGGCGGGCGACAGGCCCCTTAAGGTCGCCACCCCAGCAAGACTTTTGTGGCCAAGTGGGAATTTAACCCTAAGTCTCTCATGTCTATGGCTCATTTAATCCCCACAACAATCCTGTGAAGTAGGGAAAGGGAAAAGGGACCCCTGACCATTAGGTCCAGTCCAGGACAACTCTGGCTGGGCGCTCATTTGCTTTATTGGCGAGGGAGTCGGCATACAGTTCGGGTCATGTGGCAGCTGCTAAGCCGCTTCTGGCAAACCAGAGCGACAGAATGCTGTTTACCTTCCCACCAGCGGATATTATCTACTGCACGTTGACGGGTGCAGTTTGGCAGCAGGACAGCATGGGAGCTCACCCGTCGCAGATTCGACTGCGCTTCTGTGGCAACCAGAGCAGTCCACATGGAAATCTGTCTGGGTTGTACTCTTCACTCCCAGAGCGCGACCCTATTCCATCTACTGCACCCGGGAGCTGCGTTTCGCACCTGCTAGTTTGGCAGGCGCTGGACCGAGCAGCGGGAGCGCACCCCGCCGCGGGGATTCGAGCACCGCCGACATGGCGATCGGTCAATCCTAGGCGCGTGAGGCTTAACCCACGAGCGCCACCCGCGTCCCGACCACCCTGTTAGGTAGGTCATGCCAAAAGGCAGTGGCTGGCTCCCAAGGTCACTCCCAGTGGGCTTTACGGATGGAAGAAAATTTGAACCCCAGTCTCTCCCTGGTCCTTAATCCGACACTCTAACCGCTACACCTCGGTGATGCCAGGGAGGGGGCACTGACTTAGTTTTGGGGGAATGTCTTCTTCCTGAAGCAGTTCATCCCAAGTATCCATGTTGTGGTGTCAGGACAGCAGCACATAGCATTCCCCCACAGCTTCATCCGTTTCCCAGAGGCAGAGGTTTGCCTTATAAAGTTGGAAGGGACCCCAACGGTCATCTAGCCCTGCAGTGCAGTAATCACAGCTTTCTTGTGTGCTAAAAATGGGTGGGGACCACATATCTCTCTCTACCCCCATTGTCTGATCCTTTGCAAGGATGTGATTCAGAGAGAAGGAAGTCCTTCATGCAGCACAGAGTTAAGCTGTGGAACTCCCTCCTACAGGATGGTTTTAAAAGAGGATTAGGGAAATCCTCTTATGATTCCTCAGTGCTGCTCTAGCTGCCTGCTCCTCCCTTGAAAAGCAGAGCCGCCCCCTTCATTTCTTCCGCACATATTTGCATTGCAGCATTTCAGTTTATTCGATGCTTGCTCTTCAAATACTCCCGAGTATAGAAACGCAACTATAAAATATACACGGATTAAAATGGAACAATAAAAACAACAATATAATTCTGAGAAGCAAAGCAACCCCCCACCACCACCCACAAAAAAAGAAAAAGAAAATTATCCTTTAAAGGCAGCAGTTATTGGGAATTGCAGTTTTATTGCGGTCAGAGCATCTGGATTGGGTCTGTCTCATAAATCACGAATGCAGGGAAATGAGCACTGCTAATGAGATGTTTGAGCATCTGTTCAAGCTCGGCACACACGGTAGCCCTTTAAAGCAGGCTAGAGAAGAGTTCACTCTCTTAGGCAGCACAACCTGTGGGTGGGCATGTCCACAGCTCACATTTCCATGAGTTTTATAGCATCTTTCAGGGATGCTTTAGTTGTGATTCCTGCATTACTGGACTGGATGACTATTGGGGCACCTTCCTTACAACTCTACATTGACTGTTCTCAAGCAGAGTTTGGATGGTCACCTGTCAGGGATTCTTTAGTGATGATCCCTGCATTTCAAGGGGTTGGTCCTGATTACCCTTCTGGGGGTCCCTTCCAGCTCTACAATTCTATGAATTGCATAGGAAGCAGGATTGTCCGTCATTTCCCTTCGAAAACCGCCGGTTTCCTTCTCCTGCTGGGAAATCCTGGTCCAGCCGCAACACTCAGCTCATGGCTGCCATGGCAACCACATCTGCTTCCCAGAGAAATGTGCAGGATGCATGTGGGGGTGGGCACGTCAGGGCAGCGCAACCAAGTTTGGGGGAGTGAGCAAGCGAGTGGTAGCCACAAGCAAAGGATGGGAAGGGAGGAAACAGCCCCTCTCAAAACTTCCCCTTCTCTAGCGTCACCGAAAAAGAGGCAAGAAGGATATCCCCACCACCACCAACATTTGGAGCCTGACACTCCTTATTGATGGTGTCGTTGCTAAATGAAGCCCTTTATTGATGGTGGTGTCAGCATTATTCTTTAGTGCATTTATTCACTGGTTTACATAATGTGAATCACAGAGTTGCCTGGTTGGAAGGAGACCCTGAGGGCCATCTAGTCCAACCCCCTTCAGTGCACAAATTGCAACTAAGGAATCCCCGACAGATGGCCATCCAGCCCCTAGTTAGAAATCTCCAGTGAGGAGATTTCTCCAAGGAGAGTTGGTGTTCTTAGATCATAGAACTGGAAAAGGACAGTGAGGGTCATCTAGTCTAAACTTGCAACGCAGGAATTTCCCTTGCAACGCAGGAATCACAGCTGTACTGTATTACTGTGCTACTCCGTTATAACATGACTCCATTTCTTGATGAAGATGTTATCTTGATGTCCACCAACTCTGGTTCTCACAATATATGGAAGCTTAACCATGCATAACTACATCCCAGATTTTAGTTATCCATTCTCTCCTGAATGGAGTTATCACACACCCACACCCATTTTGACAGATAATGAAATCAAACATGAAACGAAGCAGGATGATGGTGCAGAAAGGAGTGTAGACAAAGCTAGACAAAGGAGAAGGAGGGGAGAGAAAGAGGCTGCCGGCAGTGGGGAGGGTAGCATTTGGAAGCAAATAACTGTAGTAGAGCATCATTATTTGTAAAGCCAGGGGCAATATTTTGAGAGAGAAAGGAGCTGCTCTGGTGCCAACTTGAACTGTGTCATGCAGAGGAAAGTTTAAAAGATAGATTTTATTTACCCTCTGTGGGACCTGTGCACATCGACTAACTACTAAGAGGAGATACCGTGGAGCTTTATTTCTTATTCCTAACCTCTGTGCTTATGCTTTGAACTGGTGGCAAAAATGAGTGCGTTCCGGTTAGGTTTCAACTGCTCAGCCTAGTGTTCAAATGTAGGAGCAAGAGGCAGCAGCGTCACCTGCTAGACCCTGGACCCCCACAATCAGCGAAGGCTGAAATATTACAGGAAGAAGTCCAGCAGGTGAAGCTCTCATGACCATAACTTGTAAACAGGGCATTTAGCAGAAGAGTTTGAGGGGGGTGCCTGGAATGCTGTCTCACAGGGTCCGTGGGACCAAGAGACATGAATGGTGAGGGAGCTGCTGCAGTGATCTGCAGCACCTGTTCTGTTTGTCTGCCTGACTGAGAACGTGCAAAGGTCCAGGTCCAGAGGCATTCCTTTATTCCTCAATGGTTAGGGGCATTTGAACACTGTGAGAACAAGATGCTAGACCAGCTGGGCCATTGGCCTCATGCAGCAGAGCTCCTCTTACGTTTATTCCAAATCCAATTGCAGGGGTGCTGGGTTTACATTCTTTCTGTACAGTGTTTCTCTTTATTCCTACCTTCAGAGCATGCAAGGCTGCTCCCTGTTGCGTCCACACCTGTGTCAGTCTTGTGGATCCCATTTTTCTAATGCCCCCTTCTCCTCCCTCCCTTCCTGCAGGCTGTCTACAAGGCATGGCTGTGCTCTGAGTACTTCAATGTGACCCAACTGCAGTGCCAACACCGGATCCCATGCAAGCAATACTGCCTGGAGGTGCAAACAAGATGTCCCTTCGTCTTGCCCGACAATGACGAGCTGATCTATGGAGGGTTGCCTGGCTTCATCTGCACAGGTGAGGCTTAGAATCTATGTTATAGAATCAGAGAACTGTAGAGTGAGGAGGTGCCCCCAGGTGTCATCTAGTATAACCTCCTTCAATGCAGGAATTTCAGCTCAGAAATCCCTGACAGACAACCATCCAACCTCTGCTTATGAATGAATGAATGAATGAATGAATGAATGAATGAATGAATTTATTAATACGGTCACAGACCAGTGTCAACACACACAATATCACAGACCATAAAAAATATCAGAAATACAAGGGATAATATGAATATAACAAGGATTTAAATATAAAAATTAAAATTAATTGTTAGCGTGCCCCCTGTAATTAACATTTAGGGGTTTGGTCATTATGGGATACCACTTGCTTCCTGCAATTGATTGCAGACGCACAGAATTTAGCTACATTTAATGTAGTCTTGGGATTCTTGTCCTCTAGCAGTAGTTTTAAACTATGGTATTCCGATTCTTTCCTGGACTTATGCAAAACAGGTGTAATAAAAGTCAAACGTATATCCTCATAAAGACGACAACGTAATAATACATGTGAAGCAGTTTCAACTTCCAACGAACCACAAGGACAGACCCGTGCTGTGTATTCTGCTTATGAACCTCTACTGATGGAGAGCCCACCACCTTCATTAGTCATAGAATTATAGAATTGTAGAGTTGGAACCCAAGAGTCATCTATTCCAACCCCTTGTAATGCAGGAGTTGCAGCTGGACAATCCTTGGCAGACACCATCCAACTTCTGCTTAAGAACTTCCACTGAAGGACAGCACACCACCTTCTGAGGGAGTCTGTCCTACTGTCAAACAGCTTGTATTCCCTGATCATTGGGATCATTGGATTTGTATATTTGGACAAAATATATTCTGCTTGTCCAAGATACTATCCACAGGGAGTTAGCCTTGGACTCGTCCAAAGCCTGCCTAGTGTTTCTTTAAAAAAAATAAAGATATCAACACAATTACCAACCCAAAAGTGAAGTAGCAGGGTATTGCATCATATCCAAAGCAAGCAAGCAAGCAAACAATAAATGAAAAGAGAAAGAAATGGTGAGACACACCGATAAAAATTGATACATTCCTACTTCCCAAGTTGGCATGGATGGTAAATGTTGAGCATCTGTGTCCAAAGCACTGGAAATGAAAGTCCCACCAGGTGGCATAGAAGCCTCCTGGATCCCCCAACCTGGAAACACATAGCTTATGTGTCATTTTTTTCCACAAAAGCCAAAGTCCTTAAGTTCTTATACCACCCAGCCAAATGCATATTTTTCAAGCTTTTCCACTGCTGGCCCATTGAAACCCTAGCACTACAGGGGGTTGCAGCAGATGACCATTGGGGTCCCTTCCAACTCTTCAGTTCTATGATTAAGGGCTCAAATTCACCCTGTTGATTTCCCATGCCTTGTGCATTAGTACAGAGACAAAGGAAGCCACAAGCCATTCCGTCCAAATGCTTGCTTCTTGCTTTTTTTACCGCCTATTTGAGGGTTCCTATAGTGCAACCCTGGTTTCCTGTACACCAGTGAGCTCTCCTGAAGGTAGCGTTTAGCAGACCTGTGCCATTTCTGATGCCACCTCTTCCTTCTCCTCCTTTGTTTCTGTTCTTATTCTGCCAGGGTTGCTGGAGAGGGAGCTGCCTGACCAGGAAGCCAAGTGCTGTGATGTGCGGTGGGACTCCTGCGACCGGCACCTGGAAGGCTATCGCAATGCATCTGCCAAATCAGAGCCATTCCACGACCAACACCACAACACCCCCCATAACCACCAGCAACGGCAGCAGCAGCACTACAACCTCTACTATCACCACACCCAGTACCACCACCACCACCCGTCCCTGCTGCCAGTGTCTGCAGGGTCCCGCCTCAGCAACAGCAAGATCCGGTTCTGCGTCCTGGTCCTGATGCTCCTCCACACCATGGTGTCCTTCTCGAGCGTGCACAGCAGCGGGGGACTGAGCTTGGGGGCCTACCCCACCATGGATGAGACCCTCGCAAGGGATGAGTGAACCTCCTCTGAAAGGCAGGGAAAAAGGAAACCTCCAGCTCTTTTCTCACCTGGAGGAAAGAAGGGGTTTGGGTGGGCACAATGAAGCTCTCCCTACAGTGGCGGGGGCGGCGGCACAGGACTGGGGGTGACACAGACAAAGCCACCCCAACGCAGAGCCCCCTCCCACCCCCCAGAGCAGGTCGTCGCAGGGCCCGCCCTGCAGTGGGTGAGTCTCTGAAGCGTTTGGGGGGCTGTGGGAACAAGCGATTGTTCAACAGCAGGTGTCAGACTGGGCCTCTGGGGGGGAAATGGCTCAGTGAGCAGCAGGCCTTAGGCTGGGCCTCTGGAGAATAGAGTTATGTCAGCAGGAGGCCTCAGGCACGGCCTCTGGAGAAAAGGGTTTGATCGGCTGCAGACCTCAGGCTGGGTCTCTGCAGGGAAAAATGGTTCTGTCGGCAGCAGGCCTCAAGCTGTCGGCCTTCAGCCTCATAGAGGCTCAGAGGTCGAGGAAAGGCCCACAGTGGGACTTGGAAAGAACTGCCTTCTTAGGAAAGGCAACCCCCCCCCCCGGCCCACCAAGGGCCACTTCTCTGGCCGCCACCACACATAACATGTCTCGTTTATGGGGCCACAGTGATCTCTTCCCCATACTGGGTAACTTGCCCTAGGGGCAAAAGAAACTGCTTGGCAGAGATCCGTTGTTTTTTTTCCCCTCCCCCATCATCCTCTAAGCCCAATCCAAACTATAATTGTGATGGTGCACTGCCCTGCTGCCCCCTGCCCCCACCTGTAGGAACCTCCATCAGTCACTAATAATTCCCAAGCAACCTTTTCAGTGCTCTTGGTCAAGCCATGTTATGTGATGGGTTGGCTCTTCAGCATTGCAATGGGTTGGACTAGATGGCGCTTGGGTTCCTTCCAGCTCTACTATGATACAGTTTTTCAAGTGGGGTTCTCTTGCTCCTTAAAGAGCTTAAATCGAGGGCATGCCTGCATCACCCTTGTCCTCCAGGAGATGTCCTAGGACATGCAACCAATAGCAGGTCCACTCCTGCTCCTTCTCCCACCCCCGCTGGTGTGGTCCAATTTTTCCATTTTTGGAATTGGTTTGGCAATCGCTGGGAGTTCCCTCATATTTGAAATAAGAGTTTTATTGGCAGAACTGCAGCTTGGAAGGGAAAGGGTTAAATTTATAGAACGGTATAATTGGAAAGGGTCCCAAGGGTCTTCTAGTAAAATCCCTGCAATGCAGGAATCCAATATAGTAAATCACTCCTGCTTTCCCACTTTCTGTGATCCTGATATTGATTTTAAAAAAAACCCCACACCCTTTCCATTGCTGCTAGTCAGGCTTTTTAAAGAAACCATTTTTTAAATGAAGTCTTTAAAGTCAGGTCTTGTTTGGCCCAGAACGGTCAAGAGACAGATTCCCTTTTTGAACGTGGAGTTTCTCCTTGTTATTTGAACTGTCCCTGCTCTGCTAAAGAGAATTTCCCCCAAAGTTCATCCAGTAATCATAGTATCATCATCATCATTATCATTATAAAGAATAACCCAACAGATAGCCATCTATCTCATGTTTAGAAAGGAGAGTCCATCTACCACCTTCCAACACTTCTTACCCATTGAAAGTTCTTCCTAATGTTTAGTTGGAACCTTCTTTCTTGAAATCTAAATCCTTTGGTTTGGATCCTCACTTCTGGAGCAGCAGAAAACAAGCTGGCTCCATCTTCCCTGTGACAGCCCTTCAGATATTTGAAGGGCTCTTATGTGGCCTCTCAGTCTCCGCTTCTCCAACTCCCTCAGCTGTTCCTCACAAGGTTTGGTTTCAAGACCCTTAATCATCTTGGTCACTCTCCTCTGCAAACCTTCCAGCTTGCCAAATTCCTTAAACCTGGGTGCCCAGAACCAGACACAGGATTCCAGGAGGGGTCTGATCAAGGCAGAATAGAATGGTGCTATTCTTTCCCTTGTTCTGGACTCCATAGATTTCTGTTGATGCAGCCTAGAATTGCATTAGCCGTTTTTGCTGCTGTATCACACTGTTGATTCATGTTAAGTTTGTGGCCTGTTAAAACCCAATTTTTAACATGTACAGCGGTACTTCAGTTTAAGAACAGTCCAGTTTAAGAACGATTCGATTTACAAACTCCGCAAAACTGGAAGTAGTGTCCCGGTTTGCGAACTTTACCTCGGTCTAAGAACAGAATCCAAACGGTGGAAGGGCACCGGTGGCGGGAGGCCTTATTAGGGAAAGCGCACCTCAGTTTAAGAATAGTTTTGGTTTAAGAACGGACTTCCAGAACAGATTAAGTTCATAAACTGAGGTACCACTGTATATGCACAGTTTTGTGTTTCTTTTTAAGTTATTTTGGGTATTTTTTGTCTTTCACATCAAGGTGAGAGGTTGGGGGGCAATGGGTCATCTGTCAGGGCTTTAGCTAAGATTCATGCATTGCAGGGGGTTGGATGAGATGGCCCTTGGAGGATACCTTCCAACTCTATGATTCTATGAAATCCGACTTTCTCCCATCATTTGTGATGCACAGAAAATGCTTCTGCCTCTATTTTCCAGTTCTTTGGAACTGTTTACTACAGCCCGAATGAGACAAGGCAGGATGCACAGGGCCCTGATTCCAAGGTCTGTGATTCTGTTGTTATCACCACCTCACCTCCTGGCTGATGGTGTTTGCATTTTTGTTTAAAACCTGCCTTTTCAGTGCAAAAATGTGTTTAGAGCCCTATCATTTTCTGCCCCGAGTTGTGTCTGTTCATTTGGATGGTTGGCAATACAAACACTGTCACCTTCTGAGAAGGACATGGCTTTACCGTGATACTCTCCAGTCCAAGAATGCAGCAGTACCCACCCCATCCCCAAATTTTAGTCACCCTAAAAAGGCACTTCTAACTTTTCCTCCATGTCCAAGAGGACATTTCTGGAGAAGCACCCCCCAGGAAGCATTGCAGTGGGTTGGACTGGATGACCCGTGGGGCACCTTCCAGCTCTACAATTCTATGATTCAAAGTTCTAGTCCTTAAACCAAACAAGCTGGAGGTGGGAGGTGGCCAGGCAGCCAATGGAACTGGCAAGGGCAATTGGGTGGGGGGGTGCTCTGATCTAGTATTCAAAATGTGTTGTGTGGGTTCATTTTAAATGTTGCTTTACAATGCTTGTTTTATATATTTTTATTTTAATGATCTCATTTAAAAATACTTCAAGGGCCTTTGTGGTGGACTAGAACCCCAGCACATTGAAACAATGCCTGCCTCTTCTTGTCACTCCACTGAGTGAGATCTGGTGAGCTAAGAGAGGTTGTGGGGAACGTCATTCAGAGACCCGGGGCCTGGTTGCTGCTGAACCCTTCTCAAGTGCTTGTAGGCACCAAGGCCAGGCGTGCCATGGGGGAAAACAAGTCATTTTTTACAGTACATAGTGGTGAGGTTTAAAAGATTAAAGTCATGTTGCTGAAGTCAACATTTTAAAACCTCCTTTCTACTCTCTCCCTGCCTTGTTTCTGTCCTACTTTCTCCTTTCTGGGCTCATCCACACTTTTGCTTACCCCATGTTTTGATTGTGTCATGTGCCAATTAATTTCCTCCAGGTCCGAGAGCTTTTCTCATTTTTTCCACTGCCGTGCCTTGCAAAAAGTCTGATCTTAACTGCTGAATTGGATCTCACCAGATGTGCGGAAGTGTTGCTTAACAGAGGGCTTGTCTACCCTTTTGCTTGCCCCATATTTCAGTCATATCGTGCTGCTATTCGTTCCCATGATTCTGAGACTTCTTGTTGTTGATCCACCACTGTGCCTTGTGAAAATCTGATCTTACCCACTGAATTAAAGATCATAGAAAAAAATTATAGAATTGTATGGTTGGAAGGGATTCCAGGGGTCATCTAGTCCTATCCCTTGCAATGCAGGAATCACAACTTAAGCATCCCTGACAGATGGCCATTCAATCTCTGCTTAAAAACCTCCAGTGAAGGAGAGTCCACCACCTCCCGAGGGAGTCTGTTCCACTGTCAAACAGCTCTTACCCTCAAAGTTATTTGCTCAGTTAAGCAAAATCTCTGGATTTTCTACATGTCTGATAAAGATCTGATTCAGAGGTAAGATTGGATTTATGCAAGGTATGGCCACAGAACAAGAAACTAGGAATTAATTGATACACAATACAATCCAAATATGGGTTGAGTGGAAGTGTGGAGGAGCCCTTAAGCAAAATCTCTCTTGGGACTTTCTGCATAGCTGGCAAAATGTGATTTGGTAAGTGGTGCTGGATTTTCGCAAGGAGCAACCGTGGAAGAATGAGAAAAGCTCTCAGACCCAGAGGAATTAATTGGGGCACAATATAATCCAAATAAGGGTCTAGTGAAAGTGCAGACGAGTCAACTGTCATAATAAAGCGACTGTGTCTTTGGAAGGGGGTGGGACGGTTTTCTTACGCCACTTGACACACTGTGCTTCATCTTTAGAACTTTTTTGCACTAGTTCCTATTACATTTATTTTCCAAAAACAGTTTGGGAGTTGAGGGAGGGGGGAAGGGGGAAAAACCAACCCAAACAACAAAACCATGCTATAATTCAGTTGTATTAAAACTATTATCCTACTCTGTGTTTTCAGTAGTCTCTGTACCTGTAACGCTTTCAGTTCCATTGTATTTTGGATCAGGGGTTTTCTCTGCTCCTTGTTTAACCCAGTAAAGAAATAAAATGTTAAGAATTGATGATAACTTTCCCTCCTGGTGCATTATTTCAGCTTTGCAAGTTGAGTTTCCACTTCCACATAGTAAAATATTAACCATTAAAACCTTCCCTAGACAAAGCTGCCTTCAGATTCTTCTAAAAGTTGTGTAGTTCTTTATCTCCTTGACATCTGTTGGGAGGGCGTTCCACAGGGAAGGTGCCACCACCAATAAGGCCCTCTGCCTGGTTCCTGTAACCTCACAATGAGGGAATTGCCAGAAGGCCCTTGGAGCTGGACCTTAGTGTCTGGGCTGAACAATGGGGTAGAGATGCTCCTTCAGGTATACAGGGCTGAAGCCATTTAGGGCTTTAGGTCAGCAGCAACACTTTGAATTGCACTTGGAAACATACAATAAAAACAAAGGCATACAATAAAAACCATATAAAAATGTTAAAAACAGGTATCAATTAATCATTGTGGAAGGATATCTTCTTCCTCGCCTGGCAGAATAGAAAATATTTCAGCAGCAGTTTAGAAGTTGTCACAAAAGGCAACTGCTGAATCTCCAGTGGCAGGGAGTTCTATGTGCAGAGGCTTTGTTTCTTGTTATCAGATGAACCTTACCAATTGGGAAATGTCCAATAATGCTCCTGCAGATAATCTCATTGATCATGCTTTCTTGGAAGTTTTGAAATACGGGTTGGATGGCCATCTGTCAGGGGTTATTTAGCTGTGAATCCTGAGTTAAATGGCCCTTGGGGTTCCCTTGCAATGCTACAAAACTATGATAAAGGCAACCCAGGCTGGCAGGCTGAGCCAGGTGTATGATGCTTCATTTCCCCCGAAAGCTGGGCGGCTGCCAATCAGCTGCTTTACTGGAGAGGGGTGGGGCCAGGGTTTGTGGAGGAAGGCCCCAGCATGCCTCCTGGCGGGCTCCTGGCCAACTCCATACACAGACATGCACCCGCCCTCACCTGATCCATATCATCTGTCACCTGCTCAATGTTTTGTCCCCTGGGGGGACGTCCTCCGCTGCTTTGCCGCTGATGCATGCTCTCTCTCACTCACACACACACCACCTTCTTTCAAAAGAAGCCAATTTGTCTTAATATCAGCTGTCTGGGTGCACCTCCTTTGCAGAAGCATGAAGAGTCGAGGGGGGGCACATGGAGAAGCAGGCTGTGTTATGCTTTAATTGCCACCTGTTGAGGTTTACACAAGGCCAAGTTGTCTCGGCGAAACGGGGGCTGTAAGGGCTGATCATAAAAAAGTAGAGTTGGAGGGTACCCCAGGGGTCATCTAGCCCATCCCACTCTGCAATGCAGGAATATCAGCTAAAGAGCCCTTGGCATATAGCCATCTGACCTTTGTTAAGAGAGTCCGCCACCTTCCAACCCTCATTCAGCTTTGGTTCATTTATTTATTGTATTTATAGTCTGCCTTTTTATCCAAGGACCTCAAGGTAGCATGTGATTCTCTCCTTATGTGATAATCTCCACAACAACCCTCTTGAGTGAGTGACGCTAGATGTCAGTTCTGATTGGAGATGAGCCACCAGATCAGCAGTTTACTGCACCTCCGAAATCACATCAGAAACACGTAAAAAATACTTTGGTTTGGGGGAAC